TCAGCTAGAAAGTCCTTCTCCACAAAGATGAGATAATTTCAAGGACAAATGGCCATTTAATTGCAAATTCAAGTTTACCCTGCTTGACCAGAAAACAGACCACACTACCAGGAAAACAATTACTAAAGGATTCGCGACGCCCGATATCAATTTGCCTAATTTAAGACCAACAACAGGTGATAATCAGGGAATGGGATATGACAAATTTGTATCTCATGGAACATTAGATACTGAGAGCTATGTTGTTGATGGCGCACTTTTCATCAAGTTTGAGTTGGAGAATCCTTCGCCACAAAACTTATATAAGATGATTTCAAGACCAAGCGCCGATCTTAACAATTACATGTACACAGGAAGACCAAACTAAGACCAAAATAAGTTTGTCAGTCTTACTGACCCTAGAAAAGTTGATCAATTTACAGATTCTGTGTAAATATACTGTAAATTATTCAATTTAGGAACAGCAACAGTAGGTAACGATATTACTATCAACCAAACTACCTATAAACAGTAATGCATTATTGCCAAATATACTCAGTAAAAATGGTATGAGTCATGATTTTCTGACTGGATTGGTAGCTGATTCGTAGAGAAACTGAATCACAATAGATTTCCGTTTAATTGTTGCCTTTAGTTGTCTAAATTGTTGTTTAGGATAAGTATAAATCCAAACTTGAACACCGTGTTATTTTTACGAATGGGAACTATCCTAAGACACTTTTGTGTGCTACAGAACGTGTGTCTTACCGAACATTTACTTGCATTATGTGATAACAATTTTTTTTAAATTAAAACTATGTTAACTGAGAAAGAGTGGATAATATGTGCATATGTATTTGATTTCAATATTTACTATCGTAGATCAAATACATTGATGGAATTGAGGAAGTTATACTGTCAAGACGTTTGGTTGTGTATTTATATAACATTATCTTTTGATAGAAATAATAACTTTTTAGTATAGGAGAAATAAGACAGGTGCGGCGAGTCTCTGTTGTATGATGGGAGATTGCGAGGAGAAAGAAAACGATGCGTACAAACGCGAGCATAGAAATATTTTTCTTTCTTTACGAGTGGTGTCCATCTCCCTCCTTTCTTATTTGTGTTAACGCTGCACCTGTTCCTGAACGACGAACACGGCCATCAGCCGTTAATAGGAACGCACGTTATATGTCAAAATTACTGTTATATTGGTAGTTTATTGACTCTCGCAAAAATGTCTGTAAGGAGGCACCAACAAGTAAAAAACAGCCATACTGTCCGATAAGCAATTTTCTAAACTATATATTACATATTGTAAAATCTTTTAAAAAGCTTTCCGATCAGACTTAGATCATATATCCCAAAGCATAGTTACATTATAGTTTTGGAACTTCTGCCTGACATGAAAGATGACAAATTTTAAAACACTGACATTCAGTCAGATAGCACTTAATACTGAAATTACTGATCTAACATCAGGGAAGCAGTACGGTCCCAGGGCAACAGCAAGATGAACAATACTCCTCATTTCGCAAATCTCTCTCTTACTATTACAAACACTACACAAAGCAGTGTTGGTATAGACAATGACTGTGAGTTTCCAGGACCAATAGAAGGCAAGCTGCTCTTTGCTGTAAATGCTTTCCTCGCTGTCTTGGGGACGTTTGGAAACGTCTTGATCATTGCTGCTATTTTGGATACCCCTCACTTTCGACAAAAGGTTTCAATTTCTCTTCTATTAAGTCTTGCAGTAGCCGATTTAATTGTATCCGCGGCAGGAATCCCATTATTTTGTGCTATTCTTTACATGAGAACTGTTCTTCATCGATGTAAGCAAGTAGTAGAGTTGATATATGTCGTGTTGATGATACCGGCCGGTTATACTTCCATATTTCATCTCACAGCCATCAGTATTGATCGACTTGTGGCGACAACAAGACCTCATCAACATCAAGCCATCATGAAGCGATGGTGGAAAGTGATTTTATTTGCTTGTTGGGGAACTGCCATACCCTCTGGCTGTTTGATTATCCCTTTTCCTGTGGAGATGCAAATTGCAAACTTGACACAATTTATCGCAAGTGTTTTTGTTATCATCTGTTCTTATGGAGTTATTCTATACAAAATCAAGTTCCGGAACATTGTAACAGATCACGAAACTGCACAAAAGACCGCGGCCCAAATTGCTATGGAGAAACAAGTGTCTAGAGCAATTTCAGTTGCAATACTACTCTTTGTTCTGTGCTGGTTTCCCATACACATTTTAATCCTGCATAACATAGACAGTCCTTCAATTCCTGTGAAGTACTGGTGGAGTCGCTGTCTTTATCTCAGTAATTCCTGTATGAACTTCATTGTGTACACTTTACAAATCCGCCATTTTAGAGCTGCTTGTGCGAGAATCATCAACAGAAACCTGGAGAGAATGGTTTTCAGATGCATGCATCATACGACCAACAGCTGAAGAAAATATAGTTTAAAAATGCCAGGCTTCCTTAAATGCCCTTCTCTGCCCTTGACAATTAAGAACAATAATTCGCAAGGTGCGACGTTTGATCCTTTAGATTTTCGATGAGTAAGTCAGTGAGTCCGCAACTTGCTTGGAATAACCTATGATTTTACCTAGTCTAATTTTTGTGTTATCTTTCCAAAAAAAAAATAATAATAATAATTGAATTATATAAGATCATTTAGGAAATACAAAATTATGTCAAATAATCAATAAGCTCAAAAGGTTAAGAATTTTATAGTAATTTGGCTTACCTTGAAATTTATTTCTTGATTAATAAGTAACTAGTATACAAACTATGATCTAATGAAACTCAGTCAAAATAATAAGAAAAAAAAATAAAAATATGAATAAATACGTTGAACATGTTTGCTTGATGTTTACTTGAAGACCTTCTCACAAAGTAATACCGTTATTCCAAAAAAAATGAAATAAAACATATTTTCTGCGAATTAAATACAAGAAAATTACAACTTAGTGCAAATTTGCAGATTGCACAAGACTGATAAATGAAGGAAACTCCACAGGCAACCCAAGCTAAGCATTTCACTAGCTATCTGGGTGATTTGAGAAAATGCGACTAGCCAATCAGCGCAAAGCTGACAAGCTTATGTTGTAAACATARCCCCCCGACAGGAGGAATTTGCACTGCAAAACTCGACCCAGTAGAGTAGGCTGCCTGTCATGTTATTCCATCTGAAAAATCGAAGCTAAAACGCAAAGAGAAATTGAAAATCTTTATAAAATAGCTTTTAAATGTTAATCAAATATTTATCGTTATAGAAATAGAATTTTATCTTAAAAATGAAATAACAAATAATTTTTTCTTTAAGACAACGAGACTCCCCTCCCTGATAAAAATAATTGTTCTGTGTTCTGCGCGGGTTCTCCATTGCATGCGAAGCAATGGTCGACTTCAAGAAGACTTCAGAAGGTCGTTGAAGCGACGTTCAAGTCCAAAGTATGTTTGGAGGAGACATTGCAAATCCTTTTTCTTAGCTCTTGTTTCCTCTAAGCTTTGAGGTATCTACAACATTACTGGAAGAGCTAGAGCAACTTATCTCCATCTATTCCAATAGAGTTAAAGCGTTTAATATTTTTGGTACAAATCAACTGTCRTAGTTCATCCTTTGTCGCATTTTCGGCAATAAGCCGCAAGCGTGCTCGACGATTTGACGCTATGTAACAGGTCAGTTACACATTTACTAGCTTTGAACTTACTATACAACGAGAGCTAGAACGATGACTGGGGTTTTTCGTGTAATGTCTTGATAGCGACTGTTTATGTCGAAACGACTCAAAACAAAATTCCATCGTGAAAAAAGTTCCCTTCTGAAAAACACGTGTGTATTTAAGGTGGAAAATGTTTCATATGAGCATTCCGATACTTAAGTTTTATTTCTATAATAATTTTGTTTAGTTATGTAAATAAATTCGGCACGACTTGAACTGTTTGTGTGAGTGAAAGGCGAGCTGCGGGTTTTCCCTTTTCTTTATCAACACTTTCAAATATGACCGCTTCACAAAAATGCACGGGCTCACTGGCTTAAAACCTTGGCGAATTCATATGCAGGCCTGGTCGCAAATCAATCACCCAGATCTGATTTAGCGATATCTATAATGTATGTAAATAATCGTATGAGGAAGTGGCTGATCCCATTAAAGAGTGCTCAATCAGAGACTTGCGTGATTGATCTGTAATTTCGTCACACAATAGTTTCATATGGAACTTATGGGGGACAAATAGTCCGTGATCACTCAAGCTTGACCTGACAGTCCGTATGAAGTGCCAAATTTGACGAAAAAAGGCCAGATTTCAAGGCTTTTTGAAGAAATGCGGCGACATTAAAAACAATCGTAAAAACCTAGCACCGGATTTAAGAAATAAAATCTATATGCGACCTTTCTGGGTATTTTTCATGAGAAAATTCGAAAATCCAATCACGTATTTTTGCCCTTGAAGAGTTGAAGTTGAGCATTAAAATAGTATGGCGATCCATGTTTTCACCACAGTTCGCTCCAAAAAACTGGGCCTCGCGTATAACTTATTTTGTTAATAAAAAACCTAGCACCGGATTTAAGAAATAAAATGTATGTGTGACATTGCTGTGTATTTTTCGTGAGAAAATTTAAAAATCAAATCACGTATTTTCGCCTTTGAAGAGTTGGCGTTGCTTCGCATCCGTTTGCGTTTCGGGATTCCTGTCCCGACGATGAACGGATGCAAAGGAGACTACTTCTGTAGGCACAAGCAACAAAAATCAAACTTGAATTTTTCAAATTATTGCTTTCTTATTATATGTTTAAAATGTACTCAAAACTATGCAGTTTTGTGTTAATTCAATATTTGAAAAATTTATATCAGTCAGTGAACGTAACTGTGATATTATATGTACATGTACTTTCCTTGGAATGTACTAAAACGATATTTAGCTTAACCAAGTATACCAGGATTCTTAGGACACATTACCCTACCAAACATCAAAGTATGAGCCAAATCGATTTTTCAAGGTTTGCCACTTATTTTAATATTTGTTTGATTCTTACGGACAGCCACTCTTTAAGTTTATTTCTGGACTAAAAAAAAAGAGAATATAGCCCCCCAAAATAAACAAAATATCGATGTTGAAAATGGCCTAAATTTGAAGAGATTTCAACGGCTTTCGGCCGATAATCACCATAGGAGGCCTGGAGCCGACTCGTCTCGATAGTTTGGTAAGCCCGTGGTTTTTCAAAAACGGCCATACATTACGTCCAAGTACCCCTTTAAATTGTGGATGTCGTCACATCGTAGGAAGCCCATGCAAGCGATCTATGAGCGTCTAGTTTCACTAGTCGGACGAACGAAGACCTGAGTGGTCACAGTGTTGGTTGAAATCATGGCCGGTAACTCTGAATTGCCGTCTGGATACGACTATCAGTTTGTCGAGGGTGTACATCAAGACTATATTTGTAGTATTTGTCATCTTGTAATGCGAAAACCAGTACAGACAAAATGTGGACATCGATTTTGTAAGGATTGTTTGGATGCAGCCTACACGAAGAGGTCAGTTTTGATTTCCTTTGAAATTACGAATTCATAGCCTACTCATAGAAGAACAGTTACATATCAGACATCTAGTTACTTGAATTGATAATAATTATATTCATATAAACTAAGTATTCTAACAAATATCCCGGTAACCTTTCAACGAATGGTCACGAGTGAAAGAAAAACAGAAGTGCATTGTTTCAACGTGAACCACTCGAGGGAACCTGCCGTACTCACTCGACTTGTTGTTGAAATGGAAAAGGTAGTTTTATTTGGCAAGCAATTCTAATTGTAGAATAATATGTAAATGTCCTTAGATGACACGTTGTTAATGTTTTAGGCGTAGTTCATAATTCGCCGTATCAAAAACCTCTGCGAATATGCATCACAAAATTTGTGAATTTTTGAATAATTTATGTTAAGCCTCCAGTGTCGGTGCAAGCGATTTTAGCATTTCAAAAACTTAAAATAATTAATTTTTTAGATAAATTTTAAGACGTTTACTAATTCTTATTGCAAGTCTGCTTGTTCATGTTGGTTTATAAGATACATAGAGTTTATTTCATGGAAAGTGCGACGTACAAAGCACTTTCCATGCTATAAGCTGTTTATTATATATATGACGAGACTTTCATTCGGCATACTTTTTAATAAGCTTGTTCAACTATTTTAAGAAACAAACTCAATGAGCTTATGTCGAAAAAAATGCACAGATAATTAAACTTAATAAACTTGGTAAAACTTAAGGCTTACAAAAAAAGAACCTAAATTAATAGTCGTACTTTCCACTGAAGCTGCAGGAACGTCCAAGTTTTCGTGAGATTTTATAGTAAGTAGAGGAACAAATAACAGTTCTTCGTCGTGAAAACTACTTCTCTTGTTCAGTATGTAAGATAACGCGCTGCAATTTGTCTTCGTTTGAGCTGACTTTGCTTTCCTGCAGGTACATCTCTTGTCTTACTAAAGTCCTGTCTTTCTATATTGCATGGAGATAAGTTTAAATTTTGYAGAAAAYGATCAAAACTTGGYATRAAACGGCCTGAACTCATGGTGAACACCAACGAGACAAATTTCTGTTTGTTTGCCTTCCTGTCCACTAATAAACTCTTCAAATGTGGAATTTTGATCAACAAACACAGTTCACCTTCGACAGCCATTTTGCCATCAATAGTACGCGCATGTGCAGAACGCATGGAGCTTCGAGTAGTATGCTTACGAAACTTTCTAGCGTTAGACAGTCTTGTGTGGGCAAAGATTTCAAATTAGAACAAGAAGAAACTTTGTTTATCAATAACAAAAAGGCGATTTTATAGGCATCTTTTACTTTGGCAAGTATTTTTCTTGGCCTGGGAGGTCAACGTGATATCACTTAGCGACACGTTGTCTGCTGAGTTTGATTKTATCAGTCAAAGCAAGATCTCTTTTAAAACGTTCTAACGGTGTTAATTACATGACCTTTTAGGTCAAGAAATTTTGCATATTTTGAACTAGACGCTCTTATTAGACCGTGAGTTCGGCTATTTTGGAAAAAAATAAGAATTGATCGTTTTCAACCATTCCCATGAGATTCAAAAGATAAAAGACCGGCGGCCATGTTGGAGGAATGAACAATAGATACTAATGAGAAATCCTTTGTTAAAGTTCAACCAAGATGGCCGCTGTGACGTATAGTGAAAACGAAGAATAGAACTAGAAATAGAAATAGACACTGACAGCAGGGTGTACTCGTGCCCTAAAGGTGTTGAGAAGTGCCGGCTATATTAAGTTTTCACTTCAGTGTTCGCCTATACGCCCAATCATGTTAATAAATCACGAAGTAATTTGAGATCACATATATTAAGAGTAAAATTTGTGAACTTTTAAAAATTCTCCTTGTTGATTACTTTTCATGCAATATTTAGCAGCTTTTGAAGGAACTAGATCTACACGGTAAAATCACGCAAGGAATGCAGTGACTAAATGCGTGACTAAAATCGTTCACTCTGATAGTCTTTCATGTGAAACAAAGTCAAAATATGGATAGACGTATTCTAATTGAAGTAATTTAAAAGTTTTAACTTTAAAAGTATTGAAACCACAATATCGTGAAAAGCAGACTGTTTGCGAAGTGTCGGCGATAGTTGGCGCTGCGGCCGGCCGGCAACGATCATCCCGCTCTATCTTCAATCTTCATCTAGAAATACTCCTGCGTGAATATTAACATTGTTTTCTTAATCCAGGAGAAACAGAATCCCTAATCAAATTGAGAATTCAAGCTATGCAACTCATAGCCACATTGCGGAATTCACTCAGCTACGAAGTATCGGTTTACATCTCGAGGAAAATGCACAAATCTATTACTAAACCATGTCAAGTCATAGAACATCTAGGGTTTATACTRAATTCTATTGACATGACTATTAGCCTTACAAAAGAAAAGATTGATAATATCAGATTAATTAGTCAAAATATTCTGGGCAAAAACTCATGTACAATCAAACACTGGAAAAAATCGTTCACTTTAAAAGGTTGTAAATTTGATGTAAATATCATGTAAGTGTCCAAAATGATGTAAATTTGATGTAAATTTGATGCTTAAATTTTATGTAAATTTACATCAAATTTACATCATTTTGGACACTTACATAATATTTACATCAAATTTACAACCTTTAAAGCGCGCGATTTTTTCCAGTGAAAGACGCAGCCCAGCTAATCGGTACTTATGTCTCATACTCTGTTGGAGTACAACATGGGCTCTTGTATTATAAACAACTTGAACTAGAAAAAATCAAGGCACTCAAAATTAGTAAAGGTGATTTTCAGGCACAAATGAGTTTTTCCTGTGCTGCCAGAGAAGACATCAMATGGTGGCTAGGAAAACCCACGAAATTCATTAAAAAAATTGTACAACCAAACCTCTGTTTGATACATCTCGTAGTGTTTGTTTTGATTTGCACGCATCGCCACATGGTAACTTTGCATACGTCAGCTTCAGAAATTCACATAAAATCGGGGGTAATATTGTTCTCAACCGGTTCAAATTTGGTAATAAACGTGACAATTCACTTACCTAAATTGGCTAAATATCTCAGGTCCAACGGTTAAGATTTAAGTGAAAAAACAAGGAAATTGTAACACCGCCTCGTGAATCCTCCGTCAAAATTACAAAGAATGTATGGGGCTTTGAAGCCACGCCTCCGAACTTCGTGCCTATTGAACAAAATGGCGTCGAAAACCGTGATAAGGCTTATTTTCAAGTCTATTGTAATAACGACATTTTCTCGTGCTCTCTTTTGTGTTTGCGCAAGAGAATCTGCTGTCAAATAAAGCAGCGGTTATTCGCTATTGATTCGAAACTGGAGTAATGTGCGAAGGGTGAAAAGGTCCTGAGGTCCAATGCAATATGCTCTACTCTTCAAACGGAAACAAATCAACGTAAACAGCTTACCAGATTATTGAAAAGAGAGGACTCGGCCCTGAAATCTCTTCAAAATGACATCATTTCAACATCGATAATTGGGTTATTTTGGAGATTTAGATTTAATGTTTTAGTTTAGAAATAAACTTGAATGCGTTCTGGTTGCGAATTTGTGTTCCTTTTTGCCTTGTGATGGAGCCCCAAACGAGATGATAAGGGTCTTGAAAAGATGAGGTGACTAAATCACTCATTACTTGTTTCAGAAAACGAAAATGTCCTCTGGACAACAAGCGACTTACTGCACAGCAGGTAAAAGTGAAAGTCTTCTGTTAAGTTCTTTCGGAGTTTTTTCACTTGTATTTTTTTTATTTATGACCTACATTACACTGGAAAAATCGCGCGCTTTAAAGGTTGTAAATTTGATGTATATATGATGTAAGTGTCCAAAATGATGTAAATTTGATGTAAATGATAAATTTACATCATTTTGGACACTTACATTATATTTCCATCAAATTTACAACCTTTATGGCGCGCGATTATTCAGCCAGTGTTATCATATGAAAATTGAGAACTATGATAAAATCTCAAAGAAAAAAAGAAGAAGAAGAAAAGAAAGAACAGTCAGAGCGCAGTGTAAGAAGTCATATATACTAGTTTTACAAAACTAGCTCTAATAAGTTATAATAATGATTCTTTTTATATGAAGAATTCTTGATGAGTAACTGATGAGTCCCATCACGTCCAGTATGTATTATACTGAGTTGGGTACATTATAAACATCATGCATACATTTACTTACAGGTAGATCTATAGTAAATCACGTTTTTCCCCTTACATAAACCTTTTTGTTTTCAAATATGTGTAGATATGCGATTTATTGTCTATATATCTCCATTTCGTCAGACTGTATCTCAGACAGAACGGCAGGAAATTTACTTCAGAATTAAATGTTGCTGTAGGTGTTTGACGATTTAGCAACAGAAAGACAAATTCTATCGTTCAAGATAAAGTGCCCGAACCAATGTGATTGGCAAGTAGAACTGAGAGATGCCAAGGTATTGTAAAGTATATTAATCATTATACAACTTTTCAGTAAAATCAGACGTTTTGATTGGTTGGCTTTCGTGTGTTATCAAAGTATAGATACACGGATTACGTCAAAACTAATTGTTTGTTGTATAAAACAGATAGATCTAATTTTTCCGTGTGTGTGTACTCTAATAGATACACAGATGACGTCAAAATGTAGCGAGAACAACAGTCAGTGCGTCTCGTGCGTACTTTTTTGTTCTCACTACATTTTGACGTCATCTGTGTATCTATTAGAGTACACACGCACGGAAAAATGAGATCTATCTGGTAAATATATACAGTTCTGACCGCTAATTACAGTAGCGAAATCGAGGGCTAGTATGATATTTACGCCGCGGAAAAAGGACTTTTAAGTTAAAAGTTGCTTTTGTACTCCTGCATTTCACAGAACCACGAAAGGGATTGTCCGATGACAATTGTAACCTGCAATTACCTCAATATGGGATGCAATTTTAAGGTATCTACAATTCACCCCTTTTTACTAGTGTATATCGTATAACTGTTTGATTTCAAAATTATTATTTAAAAAATCCACAAATGTAGGAATGGGCACGAGCCTCTAATATTATCACAGGAAAGATTGCGTAACCAACATACCAGCGATACCAGCTGCTTAAAGTTCAACTTTTTTGAATCTCAAATGTCATGAGAAATTTGTTTGGGTTTGAGTAGAACAGTCCAGTATTATTTGTAAATAGAACATTAAAAAAAATTGTAGTTCACATTTGTATAGTGCATACACAAATTACGCAAAACCTGCAATTCTTGTGTGATCTTTTTCTTGTTATGGGGTTCGTTCACGACTTTCCATACTCAGGTTCAGTGACCACGAACAAAGCATTGAACCGAGGCGTCAAGGTACAATGAACATAAAAGAAAAGATTTGTGCGCAGTGTTCCTTGACGCCTAGTTACAATGCGTGAGTTTCTTAACTAGATCGATTTTAGAATCTCGTTTCCAGTCTCCATTCATTTTTGTATAGGTGTTCAATCATTTCAGATGATTTTTTATTTCAAGGGACCAAGAAAATGTTTAAATGATCATTACGAGAACACCCTGGCAGAACATCTTGCCATCACGACGAATCAACTCTTGACACTAAAAGATGAAAGCAAAAAACAAGTAGAAGAAGTTACAGCTCAGCTCTTGGAACTCCAAGATGAAAACAATGTGAGATTGGACATGATTAAAGCAGAGTTCATAGCACTTCGAAATGAGCACGACAAACAAGTGTCAAGATTCATGACACTTAAAAATGAAAGCAAGAAACAAGGAGAAGAACTTACAGCTCAGCTCTTAGAAATACAAGATGTAAACAAAATGAAACTGGAAACAATTTTAACCACACTGTTCACGATTCAAAATAAATACGAAAACCAAGTGGCCAGACTTGAAACAGAGATCGAGAATCACCAATATGAAAGCGAAGAAAACATCTTCAGACTTCAAACAAAGATCGAAAAACACCAAAATGTAAGCAAACAAAACGTCTTCAGATTTAACGTAGAGATCGCCAGACTTGAACAGCATTTCGAGAGACTTCAAGATCAAAGCCGAGAAGAAGTAAACAAACTTAAAGCGGAGCTCATGACAATTCATGAWAAACAATCTTTGATGACGAAGATAACACTTTTTCTTTGTTTACTTCTCTTCACTCTTTTTGTGATATWTRTGGTACAATTTACTGACGCACATGATTCACATGTGCAAGATGATTCGCAAGATGATTCGCAAGATGATTCACTCTATAGTTACGCGCGGAGAATCTTTGTCCGACTCTGTCACTCTATGATGTGATTATCCGAAGACAACCATGCAGTCACGCAATAGTTACACGTGGAAAATTAACGATTTCGGCCAACAGCTACAGCTTGCAAAGCAGCAAGACMGTGATATCATACTGCACAGTGAACCGTTCTACACTCACAAGTATGGATAAAAACTGAAACTGATGTTATATCCTAATGGAAATGGTGGTGGCGTGGTGAATACGATGCAATATTGACCTGGATATTTTTAAAACTGRAAATACAAGTTTACCCTGCTTRAGCAGAAACCAGACCACTGGATGACGTGCAAAAACATCAATAAGAGGGTTCATTATCTTGACACAAATAGTTATCCCTATCAAAAACCAATAACAAATGAAAACATTAGAATAGGGTACCAGGAATTCGTTTCCCATGAAAAATTAAAAACTGAGAATTATGCTGTAGATGGAGCAGTCTTTATCTAGTTTTTAAAAGCTTTACCCCTGAATATATTAAATAATTGATAAAAAGAACATGATACCAAACACTGCTTCAGATGAATGCAGTTACAGGTAGAGAATGGTTATTGAAATTGTCGCTTGGAAGCCAAATGCAGGATAACCAAATTGGAAACAAGTTCTTACTGGAAAATCGTCAATAATTCATTAGCTTTTAGACCAATCGGGATAACATGCATAACTTTTATACCGCATAATTACAGATAGTCTAACAGATACCATTATATAATGTCATTTAACAAAATGCGCGCGGTTTTTTGTTGCATGTCCTCTTTTTGACAAAAAACTCCTGACGTTCTACATCAGATATATAAATAACTGATGTTCAAGTTCATCAGCGCTTTATGGCAACCCAACAATGGGGAAAGGTCTCTTGACTAAAATCATAACAATTTTTGTATGTTAGAGTTCTAGAAGTCGTTTATAGAACTCAAGTGTGTGTCTAATCGGGTATTTAGAATCTGTTATTGTGATTTACTCATATMTTGATGTTATAGTTCTTGTACAATCTCTCTTGGATGGTAAATGAGTAACAAATAAAAATTGTTTGAGTATATATAGTTTATTTCATGGAAAGTGCGGCGTACGGGATTTTATTCACGAGTTGTTTGTATCATACAACGAACGAGCGAGGTCTTCCGGTATCGTCTCCAACCACAGCCTTCGATTTCTCGTTGGAAGGTACAAGAATGTGAAAGAAGTCAAACCTAACAATATTAAGTAATATTCGCAACTATTATTTTTTGCATAATTTTCTCAGTGTGTTAATTTAGCTAATGATCTAATGTCAAGGCATCAATTTCCCGTGCACTATGCKGAACTAAAATATCCTGCGCATTTATTTGGATTCGACCCATGCATAAGTTGTCACCAACTGTCTCGAACCGTCAGGAGAGAAAACATGGTTAACATGGATATATTATATTCATAATTGTAACCACGATGGGTCATAAAGAATCTTGAGTATATATTGAGTATCTTTTACCACTTTTTTAGAAACAGAATTGACAATTAAACGAAATAATGAGCGATGTTTCTCCAACTGTCTCGAACTGTCACCACCGGCTATCTCGCAGTCAGTAACTATRCCACAGGGTCCCGGTCGCGCCGTTTAGAGTTTTGAATAAATTTGAATATTAAGTAAAGTACAATATTAAAATAATGATATGCATTTTAATTGCATATCAATAATTTTGTCGAACTGGCTATCTGTGACGATCCGTATAAACAGATGGTCTATGTTGGACAACACTTGTATTGYGTTCTGATTCATTGATACTGACAATTTGTCTCTAAATACCAGCTATTTGATAGTCTTTAGTTTGATTATATTTCATGTTTTTCCTGTGTTTTCTCTTATAACTAAATAAAGTATATTAAGTATTTTTATTCTTTATTTTTAGTGTATTAATGCAAGATTGCTAGCGGATGCACCGCGCAACACTTATTTTGGATCTGGTGGTCTAACGAACGCCAAAGGCGGGAGTATAAGGGAGTCTGGACCTCCCTCAGGAAATTTTGAAATGATAACTCTTGGAAATACGATTTCCAGCGTTTTGAGAGACATCGAGGGATCAATTTTATGTGAATTTTTCAGTAATTTTTGAGTGAAAATTTTAATATTTCCTTGCCACTAGTACGCACATGCGTATATGCGTAAAGGAGAAAATCTAAGACTGATGCTATTTACAAAATCACGAAATCAAGCCATGAATGTAAATCATGACAAAACCAAAGTACTTAGTTCACTCGGTAAAAAAAATTAGATGTAGTAAAGACGTAAATTACTTATATTGACTTAATTCTGTCTTGAGTTATTTAAAACAAAGAAGTCGTGAAAATAAATAGTTACAGCCCAATGGTGGCGACCAATGGCAATWAATCGCGCTACAGGAAGCCCATGTAAACGATCTATGATCGTCTAGTTATATATTAATTTATCACCTCGATCAATAGTTCACTTTGAAGGTAGGAGCAAATACGGAGAGAAGCGTTAGTATCATGGCCGGTAACACGGAATTGCAGTCTGGATACGACTATCAGTTTGTTGCACAAGTACCTGAACACTATATTTGTAGTATTTGTCATCTTGCAATGCGAAAACCCGTTCAGACAAGATGTGGACATCGATTTTGTAAGGACTGTTTACACAGGAGCTTAGAGAGGTCAGTTAACTCATTAACATTGAATTCTCGCACATTCTTTCTTTACTTTAGCTGGATAGCTATAGTTATCTATCAAAGACACCCAGCTACATATTGATATGATTATATTTAGTATATTCTATCAGCTCGTCCTGGATCTTTTAATTTTAATGATATATTTGGACGAATACTGCGTGTATTTATCCAAACAATTCTAAACTCTATTCGTATAAGTACGCGTCTAAAATGACTAAATCTTATAATGCAGCTAGACTCTTTTCTGTTTGTTGTTACTAAAACTAATAGGTTTAACATGAAATGGTTGAACTATTTTACTTTTTTATTTTGGCCACGTGGCTAATATTACGGACACAGGACGCCCAATATCTAAAATCGAGACGCTCTTGGAGCGTGAAGTCGGACTAGCTATTTTTGAAAATTGATAAAGACATGGATATAGGAGAAAGAGTGAAAAGATTACGATGTTATATTCTGTCTAATCATATGATTATATTATGAATGTAAATTATGGTGTAGAATATATATTTTTTACTTCTGATACATAGTGAAAGSAAGAATGCGTTACTTTCACTTAAATTAATGTACTGTTCAAAACCGTTTATGCACACGATAYGATATTCTTTTTGGCTGCTCTCTGCAACGACTTCAAAACGATAGAAATCTAAACTTGACCTAAAAGGTCATGTAATTAATACCCTGCGAACAGAGTGTATTTTACCTTACAACTGAACTGATGAAATCAAACGTGGTAGACTAAATGTCGCTAAGTGATATCATGATATCTGATACGTTTTTAATTCAAATTATTGACCTCTCAAGCCAATAAATTAAAAGATGCATACAAAATAATCAAAGTCGCCTTTTTCTATTGATAAACAGAGWTTCTTCTTGTTCTAATTGCTGACATAAAAGCGCAAGTAGCATATAACATTTACTAACGATATTCGTACATCTATAATACGTTTGAGCTTCCGTTGTGTATTAACACAGCCAACCCAATAGTAGTCATTAAATTCTTAACTTCCGGTGGAACAAGCGCGACAAAATCGACAAAATACACAGATGGACGGACAGAGAGACGGACGGACGGATGGATGGATGGATGACTAAAACGTAAAACTCAAGTCGACCTAGGCTTCGGCTCTGTAKTCCGACTAACGGTCATGAATCGCTTACGTGGGCTTCCTGTAGATGCGACAATGGGTCAGCTGCCGCTATTGAGCTATATTAGTATTTATAAAATTTTGGATATATAACGCGCGCTCTGATTGGCTGACGACCGTGTTTATATCAGAGGACAGAGACACGGCTTACCGGCAAAATGTTCTTTTCGCTCGAAAAATTTTATAAAAGAAATATAAAACGGCCGCTTGTGTCTCTGTCCTCTGATATAAACACGGTGGGAGTTGAAAAACACTCGAGAAGCAAGAGAAACACTCGCTACGCTCGTGTTCCTAAGCTTGCTTCTCTCGTGTTTTTCGAACTCCCACCGTGTTTATATCAGAGGACAGAGACAAGCGCGCTGCTATGTATCCACTAGGGAATACATACTTCCGTGTAATTAATTATTCTAGTATAAATGCTGTGTGAAATTGTGCAAGAGTCAGTTGGATGTAAACTCAGGAATAAATGCAAGGCTCTATGAATCCGCTCTGTGTTCTGACTTGATACACTACAATTGGCGACGAGGATGGCGCATTATGGCAAAATGGAAAGTTTTACAGGAAAGAAAGATAATTGGGAGCTGTACGTAGAAAGATTGGAAATTTATTTCGCTGCTAAYGACTTGGACGAAATTCCACCCGCTGAAGATGGCTCAAATKCTAACGCTGTRAWACGAAGAGCAGACAAACGGAGAGCAATACTACTTAGTGTTATAGGCCAGGRAACCTRCARTCTACTGAGAAACCTGGTTTCGCCCGCTAAACCTACAGACAAGTCGTACAACGACCTGGTAAGTGCATTAAAGAATCACTATGAACCTACTTGCTCAGTCACAGTAGAGCGTTATAAGTTTCACACTCGTACTAGAAAGCCAAATGAGAGTGTTCCCGAATACGNCAGCCAAGAAGAAACCCTGTTAGAGAGCGCAAGCCTCCAACTAGATTTGGGTTTGATTATTGAACTGATAACACTTAATATATTTGGAACTGATAATACTTAGAATTTGACATTGGTCTTGAATTTAACCTTATAATTTGTTAGTATTTGTTATACCGTGTTATACTATTCCTTTTCAAGAGAGGGGAATTGCTATGTATCCACTAGGGAATACATACTTCCGTGTAATTAATTWTTCTAGTATAAATGTTGTGTGAAATTGTGCAAGAGTCAGTTGGATGTAAACTCAGGAATAAATGCAAGGCTCTATGAATSCGCTCTGTTTTCTGGCTTGATACACAACACGCGCCGTTTTATATATCTTAATTCAAGTTTTCATGATAGAGTCTTTGTTTGAAATAAGTCAAGACAGAATTTGAAAAGTTAATATAATTAACTACATCATAATTTTTTACCGAACTGAACTCTAAGTGACTTCTTTAAATATCCTCTCTTTCTCAGTTTTCCAAAATAGCTAGCTCGACTTTGCGCTCTAAGAGCGTCTAGATTATTCAAAATATGCAAATTTCGTACAGTCTTTCCTGTTTTGTCAGCATTGTGTAAGTTTGAGTAATATTTTGATCGTTTGAATCATATAAGAACTATGTTTGAATCTCGTAAGAACTAGTACTATTAAGTAAAAGGACCTTTGAGTTCGTGGAAGTCGCGGAAAATTACGCTGAGCATCTTTTAGTGTGGGCCTACCACTAACGGCGTGTGTGTTTGTAAGTGAGATCAACGTTCTAGGTTTGATTTTCTTCATTGTCTTGATCAGCTTGCTTTTCTTGGTAAAAAAACTAGGTCACTGAAACTAATAAAAAGTGAAGCTTGATTTCGCGATCAGGCCACGAGGCCGACTGATGTACAAAACAATAGTGAAAAGGAGGAAAAGGCAGAAGTGATCCCATCTATCTACACATCAAATTAGCAATGGAGGATGCGGTTAAAATAATAACATCTCTACAATTGGAACAACATGAGGAGACAGAAGTTCCCCATAGTATGTCAAGTGCCGTTCTGGCTTTGGTCGTCCTCGACTACCTCTMTCCTCTTGATAATTTATATACACCTGGGGATAACGCAAAAAAGATGACACGCTACTCAAATCAATATAGTTTTTTTTTTTTCAAAACTGTTTACACTCTTGATCAAATGAACGAAACATACTTTTTCCTYAAGTATTTTTCCATATCAATATTTTTTTTCTCAGAAAGCGAGAATGCCCTTTGGATAAAAACTATCTCACTTCTTATCAAGTAAGTTCATGTGATTGATTGTTCAAAACTGTTCATTTGAATATGTGCCTGAGGGAACTATATGTGCAGTTTACTCTTCAATTTTACCATAGGTATTTGAGGATGTAGCAACAGAAAGGGAAATTCTTTCACTCCACGTAAATTGCCCCAACCATGGTTGTAGTTGGCAGGGTGAAGTTAGAGATGTCAAGGTATTGTTAAGTGTATATATTAAAATTATGATAAACCGGCTCAAACTTTTGTTGTATGGTCATGCACAAAAAAACTGAAAACGAGCCTACGTGGAACCAAAAAAAGTAATTTGTTTTTCTTCGGAGTCTTGCCTTTAAAGGAGAACTCCACTTTACCTTAACCCTTTAGTTATTTGATCATTCGAAGATCCTTCTCAAAGATTACCAAGGGAATTTGTCGCAACTTCACCGACAAGATAGAAATATGCCTTGAAACTATAGAAAATTACCTACATGAATGCCGCCATCTTGGCAGGCTCGTACACCAGCGGCAACTACCATGGTGACGTAGTTTGGGCGGTTCATGTTAGCAAAACAGAGAACTTTTCACTTATCATACGGAAAATATATTAAAAAAAAAGTATGAATTAAAAGTATRAATTCCTGTCTCTTTGTTTTTTTTCCGATCATATTGCATCCTGTAGTGGCATCAAAACTACAAAAATTTCCCGCCCTTTGCCGCGCAACTACGTCACCATGGTAGTCACCGCTGATATACTAGCCTGCCAAGATGACGGCATTCATATCGGTAATTTTCTCTAGTTTCAAGTCATATTTCATTTAATCTTTGAGAAGGAACTTCGATTAATCAAATAAATATAGTATTAAGGTAAAGTGGAGTTCTCCTATAACTCTTTTGTGCACCAACGTTGTCCATCATGATATTTTGATCAAAATATAAAATAGGGCTGCTCTATAGTGTCATTTCTTGCTGTTTCTCTCTACATAGGATCACGAAAGCAAATGTCCACTGACTGCTGTCCCCTGCAACTACTTCAAATTTGGATGCACTTTTAAGGTACAATATAGTAGCATGTTTGTTATTTTTTTGCCATGATAGGGCTGAATTGTGTGCTTTAATATTTGTGCGTTTGTTTGTTATTCCAAGGGACCACGAAAATCTTTAAGCGAGCATTATAAGAACAACCTAGCAGAGCATCTTGAMATTATGACACAACACTTCTTGCCTCTTGAAGAGGACAATAAAAGTCTTAAGAGAATGTACTTGGCACTGAAGGATGAGAACAAGAGGCGAGTGGAGGAGCTGCAAGCAAAGGTCTTGATGCTGCAAGATGAGAATAAGAAACAAGAACTCAAGGAATGCAACACGGTAATAATGACCAAAGATGATCAGTCAAGATATAGTTACATATGGAAAATCAACGATTTCAGCAGACAGCTACAGCTTGCAAAGCAGCAAGACCGTGATATCAGACTGTGCAGTGAACCGTTTTACACTCACAAGAATGGATACAAACTGAAACTACAGTTATATCCTAATGGATTTGGTGCAGGTAAGGGTACCCACGTATCAGTATTCATGATTATCATGCGAGGTGAATACGATGCAATATTGTCTTGGCCATTTAATTGGGGAAGGACATTTACCATGCTTGACCAGAAACCAGATCACTGGATGCGTAAAGACATCGCAAAAGGTTTTTATAGATCTGATGCAAGTAGAGATGTTTACCAAAGACCAACGACAGACGAAAACGTCGGAATTGGGAAAACAAATTTCGTGTCTCATGAAATGCTCAAAACCGAGAGTTATGTTGTTGATGGGGTAGTTTTCATCAAGTTTGAGCTAGACGATTCTCGACCCATACAAAACTGAGGTGTTTAAGACACATTTTTTTGCAGAAAGTCTGCATATAGGTAAAGGTCCAACAATGACGTACAACTATGTCAGTTCCTACAGAATTTCATTTTATATATTCAAGTTCTTTGGAATTCTAACCGTAAAACTTGTAATGGATTAGATAATAAATACTAAATTTGCGTTCTTTAGAATATCCCTTCAGCAGAGTAGAGCAAAGTAATTTTAACATTGGGCGAAGAACCTATGCAACAATGCGCTTCTTAAAATGTTTGTATTACTAATGTTATCATTAGGTAGTATTCAGGAGGAGCCGACGGGGTCTGTTCTTCTAAATACCTGTTCTTGTACGAATTTTTTCGGAAAGAGATTTTTAGCTACATTGTTGACAACCTTACAAGCAAATGTGGCGCCCTTCCTTCTTTAAAATAATTGTCCTCCTTGCAAACGTTTTTAAGGTCAAAAAAGGCATATTTAACGTTTTTATGGTAAAAAACGGCTTATATTTTTTTAGTTTTGAATATTTATTTTCCTGGAAAAAATTATTAGAAAGTATTCCTTGCTTGGAGATTCCTTTTTTTCTGAATTTCCTCGCCGGCAACCAGTCGTGACTTACAGCTGGCTGGGACATAAGAACAGATATATTTCTCCCAGCAACCCGTCGTCTCATCCTGAGTATTTTATTTTTTTATTTCATCGATTCTAGCAATAACATAACAAGACTAGAGCAAACGAAGGAAAACCACGAAATAAAATCAAACTTATACTTAACAATTAGATCTCAAAGGCAAGTGGACTACGAGCTGATAGCCCATTGTTCATTGTTTTAGAATTACCATACTAGTTGGACAAATACAGCCTTTTGCACAAATTATGAGACATTTTTATATATATAAATACAGCCTTTTGCACAAATTATGAGACATTTTTATATATATAAATATACCTAACCAAATATCAAAAACAYCCAAGAAATTATGGGATACCGTCGCTGATATTTTGTCTGTAACAACCTGATGCTAGGTAATCATGACAAAATATAATAGAGATATACCATAATTTCTKGGGTGTTTTTGATATTTGGTTAGGTATATTTATATATATAAAAATGTCTCATAATTTGTGCAAAAGGCTGTAATGAATGAAATATATAAATAACTAAATGTTTTTATTGCTAAAATACGCAAAAAGTTGAGCTATTGAAAATAGACCCCGAGTAGCGTAGCCAATCAGAACGAAGGATTTGCAATAGTCCATCACTATGCTAATACTGATAACAAATAGCGGCTATTTAGATGAATTCATCTTAACTGTGCTCATCTTGTTCATTGATACATGACAATTTCTCTCTAAATAGCCGCTATTTGTTAGTATTTAGTTTCATTTTATTTCATAGTTTTCCTGCGTTTGCTCTAGCTATTTGTTGAATTAGGTAACTATGGTTATTATCTTTTATTCTAAAATATTTAGGATACTACGCGCGCCCTGTGATTGGTCGAAAACCATGTTTGATTACAGTATCAAAACACGCTCGCGCACGTCAAAAATTTCTTTTTTTCTTTTAATTTTAGAAAAGGAAAAAAGAAATAAAAGACGAAATTCCGTGTTTGATACTCTGATCAAAACACTTGGGATGTAGGGAGAGCACTCGAAAAGCTGGAAACCACTCCGCTACGCGTCGTGATTTCCTACGCTTCTCTCGTGCTCTCCCTACATCMCGCGTGTTTTGATMAGAGTATCAAACACGGAATTTCGTCTTTTATTCCTTAAATAAAGTTCTTACYGTTGTTTGTTATTGTCATTGGTTGCTATGGTGAATTATTGACAATTTTGAAATATCACGCGTGGTATTTATCCCAAATTCCAAGTCAGTACAAAACATGCTATTACCTATACAAATTAAAGGTTTTGTATATTTATGTCCAAAAAGCTATACACAATTAACCAGCTAATAGGCTAGTTTGATAAGCCTATTTGGTCACCTGCATGAACCTTTATATCTGATAAAGGTCATTCAGTAATATGTTTGCATGAACACCGTTTACGAGTGTTTACGAGTCACGAATCAGCTGTCGACTTGTTGCACATGTTGAATGCTTCTACACAGGTTAAAAGCAAGGTAACAAAACGGAAACATGAAAAAAAGACAAACTCAAATAAATATTAATTACTTTAGATACGTTTAATGCACTTATTGTAACGTACTTCGTAGGGAGCCCATGTAAGCGACCTAAGAGCGTCTAGTTTCACTACTAGGCGCCGACTGCGTGTAGCACGAAGTCGAACGGAAGAGTTGATCATTGAAATCATGGCCAGTAACACTGAATTACCGTCTGGATACGACTATCAGTTTGTCGAGCAAGTACCTGARGACTACATTTGTAGTATTTGTCATCTTGTAATGCGTATTCCAGTACAGACAAAGTGTGGACATCAATTTTGTAAAGACTGTTTGGATGCAGCCTTAAAGAGGTCAGTATTGTAGTTTCTTCTGAAATACGAACTCACAGTCTACTATAGCAGAATACTTACATATCAGACATCTAGTTACTTACTTTGGTTTAGCAAAACTTGGATATCCAATTTGCTCCAAGTCTTCTACAAATATATATTCGGCACATGATCTTTGAATGACCACAGAGAGAAAAGCGGAAGTGCATTGTTTCAACGAGAAGCACTCCGTGAGCCATACTCAGTTTGACTTGTTGTTGAAATGGAAAAGTTGTTTCATTTAACAAGTAATGTCAACTACTTAGAATAGTAGGTAAACGTCCTTAAATAGCACCCACTTTTTATATTGTGAATGTTTTACACGCAGTTCCTTCTTCACTTTAATTACTCGTGCCCAGGCTACGCCGGCACGAGTTATAGAATGCAGCGCGTATAGGCGGATCTTTGTTTACATGATTTTCCTCATTAGCATAAGCTTTTTTGCTTTTAAGCAAGCTAAATCCAAATCTATACTGAATATTTACAGATATTAGCTCAATTAGCACTCCACGAAAATTTGAGCTTGATATATCCAATAGATTTCGCATAATATGGCTTTAAAAACTACGAATTTTACAAAGAATGTATGGGCTCATTAGCGCTTTGCCACACAGACTTTGCCACACAGAAAAAAGCCACGAAATAAGAAAACTTAAATCAAAACTTAGAAAAGCTCGTAAATCTACAGATTTTACAACACTTTGAGCTTTTTGCATGCAATTTTAAACACGATATATCAGTTTTGAGAACAATGGAAAATCGGGCTGTGTGGCAAAACGCTAATGAGCCCATACATTCTTTGTAAAATTCGTAGTTTTGAAAACCATATTACTCCAAATCTATTCCATGGATTTAGCTCAAATTATCAATAACAGCTAATCTTACAGAGTTCTTTCAATATTCAGTGTGTATGTGGTGTTAGCCGAAAAAAAAAATGTAAACAATGACGTCAGCGAAGATCCACCTATAATGTTCATGTTATTTTTTTTATTTCCAAGTCAGAAGTTTGTCTTCGGGCTGACCTTTGCRTCCCGAACGCATATCACATTACGAACTCGGCTGTGCGATCTCTAAACGAAAGATCACATTACGAACTCGGCTGTAAACAAGCGTATCATAGAACAGCAAAACTGCTCGTGAATTACTGTAGCTTTTATACGAATGAGATATAAATCGATACTTCGTAGATAAATGAAGCCCGTGGATGTCTCATACAGCACGCAGTTTGAATTGAAATATTCTTTAAAACTCAGAATTATCGACTCTTCAAGTCAGACTCTGCCGCTTATTACTCATCTGAGTATTCTGTTAAAGGCGAAGAGATCTCAAGTTATACGATCGACAGCTCTTCTAGATACGAACTACTCTAAACAATCGTATCATAGAACAGCAATAACTGCCCGGGATTTACTGTAGTTTTTTAGTAATTCTTTGATATTCGAGCCCTTTTGTTATTCCAAAACATTCATCTGTGTAAGAGCATGTATTAGGACATTGGTTTAGGTCATAAAGGTTGGTGTATCGAGCCAAATAGTTCATTTTCCTTGGCGAGATATAAACCGATACTT